TATACGAGGGTTGGGGAGCAATGGGATTGTATCACTTTGTGCCTACAGAGAAGAAGATCCATCTCATGGCCCACATCTCTGGCTCCGATAACAGGGCCAACCTCATTAGGCAGAGAGGGCATCAGGAACAAGGTCAATGACACCCACAAGGGCTCAGGAAAGGAAACTTCATGTACCCCAAACATATACTAACAAAGTAAAATTTAAAAAATAAAATCAGCTGGGTATTTAGCTCAGTGGTTCCACCGCCTGTCTCGCAAGCACAAGGACCCAAGTTCAATCCCCAGTACCAAAAAAATATATAAAATCATTTAAAATATTTTTCTACAAAGGGCCCACATAGGCAAAGGTACTTAGAGCCCCCCAAAAGTCATACAACGGCTCTATCCAATAAGTTTTCTGTAAAGTTTTTCTATTACTTACGGGGCAGAGTTTAGAGAGCTCAGCTCTGTTCCCCTCTACAAGCCAGGGGAATAAAAACATCTGTCCTCCTAATGGTGAAAGAGTGTATCATCTCCATTTGGAAAAACCATACACACCAGTAAATTATAATCCCCCAGTGCTAATTTCAAGTTGAAATAAACATGGAATTCAAAAACATTTATTTTCAGGTACTGGACGACACAAGGATAAAACAGAATGAACATAAACTTCCTAGGATATAAGAGAGTATAGTTGGTTAAAAGTAATTATAATGGCAAGCTATGTCTCACTAGAAGTATGATAAGCAAGGCTGTCGGTTCTCACTGAACTGCAAAGCAGGCATTAACCTCAGTTTTACACAAGAAAAAACAATGGGACAGAACAATTGAGTGACTTATCCCAAGCCTCAGCCAATGTATACCAGGAGCAGCATTTGAATACCAGGTCTCTGACTCCAAGACTTGTTCTGAGATGGTGCTCATCACAGAAAAGATACTCAATAAGCTAGATGATAATGAGTTGAAAGAGTGTCACCCCAAAGGATCATATATTTTCTCAGAGCAGCTTTTTAATCTATCTTTTATAGTTTTATTAAGGTATATTTTACATGTCATAAAATTCCCCCATTTCAAGTAGACAATTTACTGGTTTTTAATAACTTTACCAGGTGGTGCAACCATCGCTATAAATCAGTTTTAGAACATTTCTGTCACCCAGTAAGCCTCATGCCCATTTTCTGTTAATCGTCATTCCTACTCCCTGCTCTTAGGCATGCACTAATACACTTCCTATCTCTATAAACATGCCTTTTTTGTGCAATTCACATAAATAGAATCATAAAATATTTGAACTCTTTTGCCTGATTCCTTTCATTTAACATCATGTTTTTCATAACCATCCAGGAGGCAGCATGTGTTAATATTTTGTTCTTTGTTACTGATGAATGGCATTCCATTATATGGATATACAATATTTTGTTTCTCCATTCAGGAGCTGACTGACATTTAGATTGTCTCCACTTTTTGACCATAGTAATAATGCTGTTACAAATCTTTGCACACATGTTGTTTTGAAGACATAGATTTTCATTTTTCTTGGGTAAAGACCTGGGAGAGGAATGGCTGGGTTTTATGTTTAACTTTTTGAGAAACTTACAAGTTATATTCCAAAGTGGGTGTCAAGTGGTTCCAGCATATCCCTCACAGCAGTGTCAGAAGGTTCCAATTTCTCCACATCCACATCCACTTGTTACTGTCTTTTTATTCTAATCACTTAAATAGGTATGAACTGGTATCTTATTATGGTTTTGATTTACATTTCCCTAATTACTAGTGATGTAGAACACCTTTTTTTAGTCATTTGTTTATATTTTCTGTAGAAATGTCTATCCCGAATCCTTGGCCCATGTTTTGATTAGATTGTCATCTTATTATTGGATTATAATTATGTATATTCTAGACACTAATGCTTTATTAGATTTGTGTTTTATAAATATTTTCCCAGTCTGTTGTTTATCTTTTCATTTTCTTAGTGGTGTCACATGAGATGTAAAAGTTTTGAATTTTAGTGAGGCCCATTTTATCAATTTTTCATAAATTAGCCCTTATATTTATATATTTCTGACAAATGCAACTTACTGAAGACAGCCTGGTCAACAAATGGCCTGGGACAATGAAATAGCCACGTGTACAAAGATGAGCACAGAGCTGGGGACACTGGTACTGCTTGTGAATCCCAGCACTCAGGGAGGCTGAGGCAGAAGTACAAGTTTGAGCCTCAGCTGAACAACGCAAGTGACTTAGCTAGACCATGTCTCAAGATAAAAAGGGCTAGGATGTAACTCAGTGAGAAAGGCCTTGGTTCAATTCCCAGCTCCAGGGGGATTAAAGAAAACATGAATTTAGACTTTCACTTACACCATACACAAAAATTAACTCAAAATGACCCACAGACTCAAACTTCAAGATTATAACAATGAAGCCTTTAGAAGGAAATCTGGGAATTTTCAAAGTCTTGGGTTATAAGAAATTTCTTTTTCATCTTTTCCAGAATCCTTGTTCTGATCAAGCACAATGTGTGTGTACATGCATGTGTGTATGGCAGGTGCGTATAGTGTAGGTAGATGTAGACATAGCCACTTTCAGTCAAAATGAGAAAACATTTCACTGGGATAGGTGACTAAAATTTGAATTATCAATAACATAAAAATGTTGAAAGAAAGGATGCATGGGAGAAGTGGCAAGCCAGCCAGAACAGAGCATCCAGAGCTTGGCAGGAGCAAATCTGTGTAAAGCAGTAAATTAATCCCTTCTTCAAATACTACGCAATGAGTAAGTACCCACATTTAAGGCTAAGAAACACTGACTGCAGGTGGTAACGGACTGCAGATTAAGATCAAGAAAAAGACAAATCTATAGAAAGGTGAATCTTAACCTTTGAGTTTAAAAGATGCTAACATGAAATTCTTATAGCCGACTGCCTTCAACATGTGTTGGAAGAAATTCCTGAAGCATCTATAAACACAAATTCATCAACAGGAAAGTGTTAGATACAAAGCCTTACTTCCGAAGGTATTTTCTTCTAGTAGACTCCCTGGATTGCACCTAATATAGTCGGTAACTAATTTCATGGTTAGACTGCCTCTTCCACCCCACAGGGAGCACACAGGAACACTGGAACAACACTTGGCCCCTTGTGTTCACTGTGACTCACCGAGTGACCTTCTCCTTTCTTTGCCTGTGTCTCATCATGGAACCAGGGAATCTTTTGCTAAAGCCAAAATCTTTGCAAAACCCCAATTTCCTCTTTCAGAACAAAATTTGTTTTCAAAACATATTGCCTGGTACAATTAAATTATTTTATTGCTTACCGGCATTTTAATATGTTTGCATTATTTTCAGGTACACCTTGTTATTGATACATCCACCTTCCCTCATAGGAAAAGAAACATGTTTTATTGTGTTCTAATCCCTTCTATGAGTGGCTTTTAAATCACTAGACCCCCGCTTTGTAACATCTGATAAAGTTCTTAGAATATAATAAACACTTGATACATTCTGGTTGGAATGAAGTAAATATTAATCTTTAATACTGCAATGTTAAAGTTACATTTGATTAAACTCAAGGTCCAATGTCATAATATACCACTGAATATGTCAAATATTAAAATAATATTCTAGGAAAGACATGTAGGTTTGCCATTAATGCAATGAAGGGTAATCTTTCAATGCCAAGAGCCAAATGCCAACTTTTTCATGTCACCCAGTGACATGCTGTTCCCCTATTTATTCTAAGGAGAAATGTTCTCTCCTCTTAGGTCACAGGCTCTACCTATGCCTCCTGCACAGTGTAAAAGTTGGACCTTTTTACTCAAGACTGAGGACTGAGTATGGGCATGTAAAGCAAGAAGTGCTCCCAGTAAAACCAGCCTTATTATCTTTGTATTGTTGCTAACATCTTCTAATAATCATTTCCATCTCCAAAACATGTAGAAACAATTTATTGGCTCATCACAAGTTCACATAAATCTGTTTTGTTTTGTTTTTTTGGTACCGGGGATCGAACTCAGAACCTTGCGCTTGCGAGGCAGGCGCCAGAACCGCTGAACTAAATCCCTGGCCCAGTTCACATAAATCTCAAAGAGGAGTGCTAAGTAGTGTATGAAGGTAGCCTTCTTTCTGACTTCTTGTGGTTGAGTGGATATTGGCAAAATACACATGCTATGAAGTCTGCCTCTTCACAAAAAACAAAGTAATTCACAAACCCTCAAAATACTATACTTTCCTTCTTGCCTGAGATCTGGCTGCGCTATTTCTGAGTAATTTTCTCCACTGCTATCTGCAGGGATCTTTCCAGTTGCCACTGCCACCCTTCAGCAACCTGGAGCCATCTAAGTCTCACGTGGAGTCTTATCCTGACCACAGGGCCTGGGCCAGTGCTCTCTATTACAAGGATTTTGAGAACCCTTGGACTAGTAGCTAATCTCCTCAGCATCATATTTGCTGCTCTGCCCACCTACCCTGATATTGGAACCTAGTTTCAGGCCCTAAGATTTTATCTGTTTATTTGTAACCAAGCCCCTATCTTATACCACTAGAAACTAGATCCTGGATTCATCCAGGGTGATCCACAACCCTTCCTTGGGACCTTGTGCTGTGCCTCACTTGGTGCACTACTCCCTGTAGTGTTCTGTGGGTTTATGTAGAGACTGCCTGGGGACGTCAGTCTTCGCAGTGTGTCCCAGCACATGCCGCCTGCTATCTGTGACATCTGGATCCCCACTTATTGTGTATTGTCAGACACCCCTAGGGTCACGTTATGCTTGAGCTAAATTTCCTACCAAATGTCAGTTCCTTTCTCTATCCTCGCCTGTTTGACAGTGGTGGGATTGTTGGGACTCTGTCCTGGCCATGCAGATTGGCCTACCTCAGTGCTGATCTCTAATTATAATACTCAAGAAGCTCAAGTAATACCTTTATTTTTAAATATTTCTATTCAAACTGCCCAACAGTAAGCTTAAAGATGCTTCACTAAATATATATTGGCTGGCTGAAATGACAAAAGAAAATATCCCATACCTGTCTGAGTGAATCCTGCTTTGTATCCATTAGTTGTCCCAGTTTCTGGGGTCACAGCTGATGCTGAAGAGTTTGGTTTAATAGAGTGGCAAGTCGTAGAGGATTGTCGGCTTCTACATTCTGAAAAGGAGGAAAAATGGTATTATGTGAAGACTTCACTATTCAGTATAAATAGGTAATAGGGACACAAATTGCTCCTGTATCAGTGGTAGCCACTACTTTATCAGAGGGCCCCATTCCCTAATGCTGACTCCAACATTATTCTAGTGAATAGTTCTTCTTGGAGCCAGATGTCATGCTTGGAAAGAAAAGCACAGTCAGACCCTGGTTCCTCACAGACTAGTTCCGGGGACAGGGGCGTGGGGCAGCACTCACACAACCAGTGTAGTGAAGCTAGTTCAAGATGGAGGCTGAAATATCAGCTTGCTTGCCTGCTTGCTTGCTTTCTCTCCCCGCCCCCCCCACCCCCTTTCTTTCTTTCTTTGGTACCAGGGATCAAACTTGGGACCTTGAAATATCAGTAATTTCTAAAAACCCAATAAGCTTTAGAAACACAAGTTAACCTTCTGCACTGGATTTACAGTATTTTAAAGTTTAGTAGCCTTCAACCTTTTCTATTCAACCTTAATTTATGTTAAAACACAGAAGCAAAGAAAAATGTCCAAATAGAGAAAAAGAAATACTCAAATTATTATTATTCTAAGTTATTAATAAATACATGGATGATATTCAAAATGATTACTGATTATGCAATTCCAAGCTTCAAATTAAGGGTCTCACTATGTAGTTCAGGCTAACCTTGAACTCACTATGTAGCCCAGGCTGGCCTCCAAATTTTGGTGATCCTCCTGCCTCGGCCTTCTGAGTGCTGGGATCCCAGCCATGCACCACCATGCCTGGCTAAGCATCATATTAAATATCTATCATGGGACTCTTAACAGTACTTTGCATTGATTCAGGTATATAGCAAATACTATGACAGCCTGCTGGACTGTAAGTTCCAACCAAATTACTGTACAGTAGTCTCAGAAAGTAGAACACAAAATAGGAATAGAAATGGTTGTATGTGACAAAGTTAACTTAGAGGGTCCTTTAGAGGGCTTCCAAGTTGATAGGATACGCACAAGGACTGAAGGCTGATTTCTCAAGTGTCTACATTATGACCTTCTATAAAAAGCTATTGTAGGGCTGGGGAGGTAGCTCAGTGGTGCTGCACCTGCCTTCCAAGCACAAGGTCCTAAGTTCGATCCCCACTACGAAAAAAAAAGCTATTGTACTTTGACCTACAAGCCTATTTCCACATTATGTGTATTATATGCATATACGTAATTTGATATTATATATTTTACATATGCATATAAACATATACATCTCCAGTTCCAAACTGCTATAAACATGAGGCTTCTTTAACAAATTTTATTCTTCAATAAAAAGATAATTCTCAAAAAAAAAAGATAATTCTCATTGAGCACTAAAGAAAGAGTTAAAGGTATCTTAATAAATACACTTGCTAAACAATAAAGTTAAACGATAGAGATATGATACTTACTCTATTTTTACCCTTCAGAATTTATTAGGACAAAGTCATCTATAATTCACCATGGTTATGATTCAGTGGCTACAAGCTTTAAATTTAATGACACCCAGCTTGGGATGTGTAGCTGTTTCATAAGGAATTACACAATTGCACTTCAAATGCAACCAAGAATAACTATGGTGAAGGACTCAGAGGTAAATCTGCTACAGTAATTGGAATTTATTATGCTATTTTTCATGGCCAGGCAAAAATCTTATAGAGGAAACAAACAAAAACATTACAGACAGTTATTCTACGGAAAAATATCTCAATATCAAGAAACTGCTCAATAGGATAAGGATTAGATACTCTATTGCATTAGAACAATGCTAGAACTTGTAGCAATGCCTATCAAACACACAAAGGTGTCAAGTTTCAACTGGATTTTTTCTTACTTTTTTTTCTCCAGTACTGGAGATTTAATTTAGGCCCTCCAGGGCCAGTGATCTAGCTCAGTGGTTCTGCTGCCTGCCTCGTAAGTGGGAAGACCAGAGTTCAATCCCCGGAACAACAACAACAAAAAAACAACTTAGGGCCTCCACACGGAGCTACAGTTCCAGGTCTTTGTTTTAAATTTTGAGACAAGTTTCACTAATTCACTAAATTGCTCAAACTAGGCTTGAACTTACCATCAACTGGATTTATCTTTACAGATAGGGTAGTTAAGTTCTTCCAAATTAAAAACAAAAAAACAAAACTTTACTAACCTAATAGTACATTTTCCCAGGTATTACAAAAAATGCATTGGGCCGGGATTTATCTCAGTGGTGCCACCCCCTGCCTCGCAAGCGCAAAGTCCTGAGTTCGATCTCTGATACCAAAAAAAAAAAGACTGCATTGCTTATTTGAAGTATGCTTTTGTCCAATTAAAATAGAAAAATGAGAAACTTGAGAATTACCAAACAACTTAAGTAAAGTAAAAAGAGTGTCAGCCACTTTGAGGTCCTACTAGCAGGACCTAGAGAGAAAGAGCCCATTTTCTCACTGTGAAGTGCACTCATTTCCTGGAGACATGCGTTTTCCTAAACTGCAATATCTCTTAAAAGCAATAAGGAGCAAGTCCAACAACCTACTTGAGGGGCTTTAAATTTTTGGATAGCCTTCTGAACTTGAGCTCTTTATCTATACCGCACCTGAACTCTGACCCTGGAAGCTTTCCTGTTGTCATTACCAAGTCCCCAAGCCCTCCCCATTCCTTCCTGGAAGGTGATTACCTTTCCAGCAGATAAGTGGGCCCTTGGACAGCACACCCTGGGAGGTTCTGACTAGGTAGTACTTTAAGTGCTTCTGCTTCTTTGGCTGGGTGGTGAGCTTCAAGTTAATGTGGTTGGAAAATTCCGTGAAATACCGAAATCCTCTTTCTCCACAGCCGATACAGTTTCCAGAAAACCCTGAAATGAGGAACCCAATGTTACTGTGGTCTTGTAAGGTGTTTTTTTTTTTTTTTTTCAGTACTGGGAATTGAACCCAGAGCCTTGCACATGGTTGGCAAATGTTCTTGCCTAAAATTATATTTTGAGATAGGATCTTGCTAAGTTGCCCAAGCTAACCTTGAACTTGAGACCCTTTTCCCTCAGCCTCTTAAATTGCTGGGATTACAGACAAGCACCACCATGTCCGACTGATACAATACTTTTGTATGTAAAAAGCATAGAAATATTCACATCTGTTGACTTAATAATGTCACAATTTAAGGAAAATAATTCAAAGGGAAAAAACTGGTACAAAAAATTTTTAGCAGAGTTATAACAGTGGACAACTGGAAATAATTTAAAATGTTGCTCTAAAAAATAATGATGAAAAAACGGAATGGGTAGTAGGTTGTGACAGAATTTATGTAGCATCTACAATAAGATGAAAATGTTGATCCTAGAGTTGTGCATTACTTCCCCCCATGCACTCCCTTCTTGGGAGCCTGGTTCTCTGCCCTGCCCGTTCTGTGAACTTGCCTCTTCGGCCACAGCAATATCTGACCCAACTTGGGACAGAGTCTGGAATTCTGAAATAAACGAAGAGTCAGCTAGATGGTACAGGACTCTGGATTTGTAAGCCTTTGTAAAATTGGAACTTGAGTTGGGGCTGTGTCAACCATACACACACTAAGGTATGGGAGAGAACAAATGGCACTGAGAAGAGGAAGCTGATGCAGAGCAGCCTCACACGGACAGGGCTCGGCCGACTTTGGTTTCTGTGAGATCCAGATGCACTCTCTGACATGAGCTCCACAAGATCCCCACTGCCTTCCTATTCAGCCTCTCTTTACTCACACCAGCTTATCATTCCTTTCAATTTAACATCTGAACAACTCCTTACTCAGACTAATCAAACAAAATAAAGCTTTCTGAGACCTCATTGCAGCAGGGGATATTGAAGAGGAAATGCAGGAGGCAGGAGAATAAGAAGCCAGGCTTTCCTTTATTGAAAATCAACTTTTCAGTTCCCCTTAGTACCCAAATGATAAGGCAGGGCATAACATGAATAGGACAAAAGTTACAAATAAACTTGGCATGGTGGTGCATCCCTGTAATCCCAACACTCTGGGAGGCTGAGACAGGAGGATCACAAGTTCCAGCCCAGCCTGAGTAACTTAGCAAGACCCTGTCTCAAAATAAAAAAAAAATAAAGGGCTGTGATATAGCTCAGTGCAAAAGCCCTGGATTTAATTCTCAAGTACTGCAAAAAGAAAAAGTTGAAAATAAGAAAGTAATTCCATATTGTATAAAGATAATCTAGATCCATATACAAATAACTAACTGAAAATAAGTTCACTGATGATACTCTTTCAAATCCCTAAGCCAACCTGGGATATAAGTAACAAAGATAAAGAGAAAAGAGAAAGGCCACATGGATTAAAGAGAATATCTCACAATATTCTCATCTTAGAGGGCTGACAGTCAATTCAAAGCATTCATAAATGACAAGTCAAACTATCATTGTCATTCAACAACTCATTCATCATATCATCATTCAACAATTATATATTGCACAGCTATCTACATGCCAGGCATTTTTCCAAACTAAAAAGTGGTGAACAAGAGATAAGCAGAACCTCCGGTTAATTATGTAGAAATTGATAGTTTATGACTGTCACTCTGTAGAATTATGAATATTAATGTAAGTTTATAAATGACTTAAAATATATTCAGAGATAGGTTGTATTTGAGAGTACTTGACCATTTTCCAGTAAATTGAAGCTAAAGGCCAAAAAAAGAAAAATTGTCAATGATTGCCTTGTTCATGAAGTTTCTAAAGACATCCGTTCATCCATCCATCCATCCATCCATTCATCCAACAAACACTTATACACTACCATGTGCTAGGCACTGTTTCAGGCACCAGGCTTGTAGCACTGAACAAAGCAGACAAAGGTCCTCTTTTCGTGGGACTTACATTCCGATGTGATCACCATGCGTTGATGGAAAATTGCCTGATGTGCGAGGCAGATGTACCACACCCAAAACACAATAAAAAAAAAACCTCTAAGTACCTGTCAGCTGAACTAATTAAGGACAGTGCTCAAAGGCAGTTCAGAAAATACTAGTGTGACAGAGGAGGAGGATCATTTTCTGACCTGTATGCTTCACAAGCTTGGATTTGACAAGGAAAATGTCTTGATGAATTGTGGCAGTGCATCTACAACTCTCCTCAGTTCAGATTTGATTGATTTCTAAAGTCCAGAACTGCAATGGAGCTCCAGCGGCAGTGTAATACCTTAATTACAATGATTGAAAGAGAAAACATGGAACTAAAAGAGAAGGAGAAGGCAGAGAAAAAGAAACGAGGACCAAAGCCTTCAACACAGAAGTGTAAAATGTATGGAGCACCTGATGGTAGAGGAAGAAAGAAGCTGAAACTATGAATGCATATTTCATAATCACTAGCTTTAAAGCAGTAGTTCTTTAATTTATGGGTCTTCATAAGATGTACTGTACAATGCTCAATTGTTATGTCATTCAAAGACATCAGGTTCATCTGTTTATTGAGCTAGAAATATAGTATGTACTTTCACTTTTTTAAATGGAACAGCTGTGCTGAAATTTTTTTAATCATTAACACTTGAAGTAATAAAATAGGCTTCATTTATTAATAAATATTTCATTTGATTTATTTTTCTATTATAGTTCCATTTGTGAAGATTGTGACTTTTTGTTTATCAGCCTTCATTTTTACACTTGTGAGGCTTAAAAACAAGCAAGCAAGTAAAAAATTGCAAACAACAACAAAAAAAGAAAATACTAATTTAAGAGTTAGAAGGAGCAAACTGTTGAGGTTGGGTTTTATCTTTTTCTCTGTGTATATTCTCTGAGATGAAAAGCAAGAGTTTGGGGAGGAAGAAAGCAAGGGAGTCTGGAAAATCCAGCAAGAAAATCTTCATATTAAAAATGATGTTAAACAATATGAGGGAAACCTACTTGGGACCCCTCCTGTCTCTCAGGAGCTAGTCCTATTCCCCATTCCTATTCCCCAATAAACCTTTCCTATTCTTAACCTTCTTTAAAAAAAAATGAAACAGTTAGAATGCTACTGCAGTTCATTTTGAATACTCTGTGTGGTTTCAGCATCATATGTTCGAGAGAGATTTTCATCTGCTCAAAGTTCTTGCTATCATCAATAATAATAAAAAAAAAATAACGCAGCTTGCCGCTGAATTACCTTTCTAGTTTTTCTGGCAATCAAGTCTTCCAATTGCATGGTAGATTTGGGGCACATGCACTGCCAACTGGATCAATATATTTTTAAATCAATTCCCCCACAGTCTGTGGAATCTGCATAATTTATATAAAAATTTAGACATATTGATATTGGAGTTCACAGGGATTCTAGAATATCTGAATCTCAAAAAATTTGTTTTTCTGTCTCAATGCACACTAAAATCATCCACCATAAGTAAAAAATGTTGGATGAATTTTAACTTTTTGACACAGAATACTAATCCTGTAAAAATCTCAACAATGTGATTATTTAAGAAACGTTATCATATTATTGTTGTATTGCATTTTCCCATGGAGAAGTGGCTAAAGATAGTAGGACAGGTTCCAACCCTATATAACTATTGAATAAATATGATAGCAGAATAACTACAATTTAAAGAGCAATTTGCCAGGTGTGGTGGCACATGCCTGTAATCCCCGCACTCAGAAGGCTGAGGCAGGAGGATCTCGGAGGATCACTGAGAGTTCGAAGCCAGCCTGGGCTACATAGTGAGTTCAAGGCCAGCCTGAACTACACAGTGAGGTTCTGTCTCAAAGAGAAAAAAAAGCAATTGACTCTCCATCTTTTTTTTTTTTCTTTTTTGTGGTACTGGGAATTGAATCCAGGGCTTTCTCACTGAACTACAACCCTAGCTCTTTATTTTTCATTTTGAGACAAGGTCTCATTAAATTGCCCAGGCTGGGCTTAAATTTATAATCCTCCTACCTCAGTCTCCCAGAGTTCTGGGATTACAGACGTCACTGCCATGCCCAGTTCATTGATCACTGTATGTAGATGAGAAATCTGAGACTTCAGGTTCTTAACCCACTTGCCCAAGTTCATAATGCACCAGGTGGCAAATATGACATTTAAACTCATCTGACCCCAAGGTTCATGGTCTTGGTCTCATATACCGGATTATGCAGGACTGTGAAATATGTTATTCTGATGGTGTTTTCCATAGTACCTTCTAAGAGGGTTCCTTTAGTCCTGAAGAATCACTGAGCAAAACAGCATTATGAAAGAGTTTTCACTGTCTATAGTCAGAGCTGTACCTAGCCTATTTCATCAGATGAGAGTATAATGTTTTGAAAATGTTTAAAATGTTTCGCAAACTTATTCTACATCACCAACTAGTCCTAAACTCTGTGAGGGAAACAACCGTGCCTTGTGATTTTTGTGCCTCCACATCCTGGCCTGCATAATCTATATAACACAGTACATTGTGAATAAATGTTGCCGACGGAATGAACAAGTGAATGGTTGGACCTTCCTTGCTAATTTAGTGCACTGTATAGCACTGCACTATATTAAACCACGTGCTCAATTTCACTAAAAGAAAAAATGAGCATATTATTTTTTGAGAGTCTTGTGAAACATAAAATTTATCGCTTTTTCTATGAATCAGGAGCTGGCGCTCAACCAGAATTTAAGAAGCCTTTATAAAGCACGTGCAGGGTCATTTTCTGACTCAAAGTACTGATGCATTTCTAGAATTTCTGTTAACAGTATATAACTAGAAAGATGGTATCAAATTAAACAGAAAGCAAAAACATCTCATGATCAATAAAATATTCCAGGGCCAGGGATGTAGCTCAGTGGTTCCAGCGCCTGCCTCGCAAGCTCAAGGTCCTGAGTTCAATCCCTGCTACCAAAAATAAATAAATACATACATAACATACATACATAGATAAATAAATATTCCAATTCTTTGCCCTCAACTCTATTTTTCTTTTTACTGATATTTATGCCTAAAACATCTAATTCCATCTAAATAAAAGAAATTCTGAGAAACAAAAAGAACTTCAGAGAAACATAGCAGCAAAAAACAACAAATCTTATATGCCCTCTTGTCTCTTCAATTATTGAAAACAATTTAAAAATCTACTCTTCTTTATTTCTCATGATGCAGAGAAACTATGATGTAAAAAAGTCAGGACTCTAAGTCATACCAGAAAGTAAAACAATTCTGAGATTATATATTCCTACTTATATATATATTTATAAGTAGGTTTATTATTATATGTTCCCATTTATATTTTTATAAACAGGATTATTATTTTTTCTATTTATATACTTATGAATTCTGAGATTTATATATTCCACTTATATATTCCCAAGTTATTTTAGGTGAGCTAATGTTTAAATAGAAAATGAGAATCATATCCATCAAATACAGATAGGAATAATGGGCAGTATGGAAAAACTACAAATAATCTTACAAACTGGATAATTCATAGATGAATAATTGAAAGTTGACATAATAATTGAGGTTCATATTGATAATTATACAGAATAAATTCTGCTTCATTTTATAATATTTTTTTAGTGCTGAGGACAGAATTCAGGGCCTCATACAAGCCAGGTAAGCATTCTACCACTGAGCTATACCCTCAGCCCTGAAATACTAATTTTTTTTTTTTGGTACTGGGGATTAAACTCAAGACCTTGCACTTGTGAGGCAGGCGACAGCACCACTCAGCTAAATCCCCAGCCTGAAATACTAATTTTTGATAGATTGATAGCTGTTTCTAACATTTGGCCAAAAAGGCCTCTCTCCTTTTTTGTGTATTACTGAAGACTAAATCCGGAGAGCGCTGAGCTATATCCCAGCCTGCCTGCCTGCCCTCCCTCCCTCTTTCCCTTCCTCCTTCCCTTCTTTTCTTCCTTCTTTCTATCCTTCCGTCTTTTCTTTTTTTGAGACAAGGTTTCCCTAAATTGCCTGGGCTGGCCTTGAATTTGTGACCCTCCTGCCTCTGCCTCCTGAGTAGCTAGGATTACAGGCATGTGCCATTGCACCTAGCTTGTACTGACTTAAAAAATTACTAAGAGAAAAAAGTTTTCTTACTTGAACTGAACTTCATAAGCCTCAACAAATTCCATGATATGTTTTTTAAATTATGCAACAGTTGTAAACAAACTTGCATTTTAACTCCTGTAAGGAATTTTATAGGTAGGAAATACTCACCTAAAAGTGCATTTTTCCCATGATCATCCGGGAGAAAGCGCTTGTCTACGGCACAGACCAGGGTGTGCTCAGGAAGATTGGGAGACTTGGCTCCCACCAGAAGGAACCCTGCTGGAACGTCGATCTGTTCCGTACAGAGCGATACCAAACGCAAGTCCTTTCCTGCTTGACAAAAACCTAAAAATGAGTACAAAGGATACGTTTAGGGAGCTTATGTCTCCTTATTATCCATTGCTTAAATCAGAAGACAAATCTATGCTATGTGAAAAGAAATAAACATTTCCATCTGGTTCAGCCAAAATGACAACTCTGTCTTTCCTGGATGCAATAAGGCAGCGATAAATACACAGCAGATTTTGAAGAGTGTGTGTAATTTCTGGGTGCACATGATAACTTTTACTTTCAGTGCAAAGTCACTTATCTACATGGGATGATCACGGGACAGTTCTTAATGTCATAGAGGAAGAGGCTGAAGCTGAGAGTTTGGAGACTCACAAATGGACAGGTCAGCAGTAGGGCTCAGAACTGTCAGGCTGTTCTCATCAGGAGCAACATCCTCTTCTCGGAAACAGCCCTCTTTGCACTCTCATCCTACGACTCCCCTGAAGAGTTTACTCCAGACTGACCTGGAGCTGGGCCGCTTTAATATCCCATCTTTCTGGCCAGTGTTGGCGGGTCCAGAGGTGGATACCTGCTACAGAACAGGCCAACACTTTTCCCTAGGATTTCTGAACACACAGCCAGAGAAGACATGGTTCAGTTTGCTCTGTGGCACCTTGTGTCTCCTGACCTGTGAGAGCGGTCTGTCAGCAGAGACAGGAGGCTAGGGAGGGCCTGGCAGTGTTTGGATCCCTGAAGCCTGGCTGTATCTGCTTTCCCATAGTTTGCTCATGCAAACCTTAGCTTTGGAATTCCCTAATAACTCCCTCATTTTACCTAAGCCAGTTTCAATTGAGTTTCTGTCAGTGCAACGAGAGACCAAATACACGTATGATAAATGCTGTTTTGGGGAGGGAGTTGTGGAAAGATGGAGGATGAACATCTAAGTCTTCATATATAAACTTAGGCAGAGCATCACCTTCATTGCCCAATGCAAAGCAGGAATAAACAACGTTGGATTCTTCTGCCATCAATCAGTTCATACGATTTTAACCAAATGCCAACAAATAATTGGAGGTCATCAGTTGGTATATGAGCAGTAAAGACAACTCCATTGAAACCCTGTGAAGCTGTGATCCATATAAACTTATCATATTGTTTGGATCATCCAACTTCAAAAGCAGGTATAATGGTATTAGAAAAAGCCAACAGAAGAAATACAATAATAAAGACACTGGGTTCAACCATTTCAAGCTGAAAGATCCCCACTAACATCAACAAAAATTAAATTAACTTTTTTTAAAAGTCCATAATATTAGAAAAGCTTTATCAGAAAGTTACTTTGGCCCGGGATTTAACTCAGTGGTGCCATGCCTGCCTTGGAAGCGCAAGGTCCGGAGTTCGATCCCCGGTACCAAAAAAAAAAGTTACTATGAATTCTTTAGCAATTTTAATGAATCTGCATTTTATTATTCATGATATTATATATATGTGCTTGAAAATTTATCATTTGTATATGTGAGATATACCACTCATTCAGCTTACAAACAGTTTTGGAGCTTATGTATACATAAAATCCCATGCAAAAGTTCTGCTTCTTGCATTCTCATTAAGGAACAGGTATCGCAGGTCTAGAAGTCGGGAATTGATGACATTGATGGCAGATAAAATTTATGGGTTACCTGCCATAAGCTAGGTACAGTATAAACACTATAAATTATCTTATTTAATCCTTTCAATAACTGTAAGTATGTATGTTTCCTCTTTTTTTTTTTTTTTTTTTGGATTGAACTCGGGACCTTGTGCTTGCGAGGCAGGCGTCGGAACCACTGAGCTAAATCCCCGGCAATAGAGATTTTAAAGTGGATGCTATAGCAGTGATCCATAAAGGTTAGGGAATTTGTCCAGGGTTATATAATGAGTCTAATAATGTTTAATGATATAAGACATGGGAAATTTGTCATATAAGAACAAACAAAAAGCATACTACTCAACTTCAACTCGGCAAAAGAAGAGCAAAGAACAGTCATGATTCAGTGCTAAAATTATCAGGGGTAAACACAGACATTTATACTGAATCCTAAAGTACAAAATCTAGGAGGCATTTGAAAGTATTAAAAGGAGTACTAATTTTGTAATCAAAGAAATTATTAATTTGCAAATAGACAGTAAGCCTAGAAACAGATTTCCCCTAAGCAACCCTTTATTAAAAGCATGATTGGCTTCAGAAAGCATACCATATAAATATCTTCCCCAAATGTATGGGTAAATCATTGATGAGAAGTTTGTGACTGACTGTTAATGGGAAGCAGGATGCTTGGGGAGCTGCCTCCATCGCTAAGTAGGAATGCAATCTCTCTACAACTTTGATTCTAAACTGAAAGTGTGGTCTAGATAGAAACTACAAATCGGCACCAATTTTCAAATTATTACAAGCGTCTCAGAACATTAGAATTACTTGGAACCTCGAGATAATCTGATACAACACTTCTCAAGAAATGGCAATCACAAATTTCCAGGGATTCACAAAATTGTTCCTAGATACTTGAGAATTATAAGTGAAATTTAATTATCAGTTTCTAAAAATTGATTATTCTAATATCCTACTTTTTGTGACACTGGGCATTAAAACCAAGGTATCACTCATGCTAAGTAAGTACCCTGCCACCGAGCTACATCTCCAACCTTGTCCTTTTTTGTTTGAGTCAGGGTCTCAGTAAGTCACTCTGGCTGGGCTCAGAGTAGTGACCCTCCTGTCTTAGCTCCCTAGCTAGTTAGGATGACAGGCATGGGCCACAGTATCCAGCTTAATATCCTACTTTTAAAAAAGGATGTCCTAGGGCTGGGGATTTAGCTCAGTGGTGCTGCTGCCTGTCTCGAAAGCACAAGGTCCTGAGTTCAATCCCTGATACCAAAAAAAAAAAAAAAAGAATTTTCTGAGGACTTTCATTCAACACATGCGAGGGAAGTGGAAACCAGCTGAGTAAGCTCATAACTCATTCAGAAAACCTATACCATTATGTAGTTTTCACTATTATGCAATTTCAGATTGTTATTTTCAGCTATATGTTTTAATATATTGCTTTACTTATATAAATAATGGGTTGTTGGTTAAAGATGAGAAACTCAGGAACTACTCACTGTGTTGAGTGGAAAAAGAATCATTTTACAAATATACCTAGAAATAGGAGTTAAATTCATTCCCTATCCTCACTAATCAAATTATATGAAAAAAGATACATAAATATGTGTCTAGGACAACAAAATCTAATATTATAAAGGTAAAAAATTTAGTGATTGTGATCTAATTGACTTTTATATATGAGGGATAAAACACAATTTCTTTTTTTTTTTTGGTACCGGGGATTGAACTCGGGTCCTTGTGTTTGTGCAGCAGGCAGCGAAACCAATGAGCTAAATCCCCGGCCCAAAACACAATTTCTTTCAGTAAAAAATGTCCTACAAACAAGAGCCTAAAACTTTCTCACCACATATAGCATAAATACAAAAATTGTAAAAATAAAATTGTTTATCTTTTTAATCTTGAAGTGTAGAAATTCCAAAACTTAAGTGTTAAAGGTAATTTTGACTTTTTTAAATGCTGGGAAACATTTAAATATACTTAGTTCTCCACAAAGTATAATATTTTGTCTTTGAATTTTAAACAAAACATGCTTTTTCTTACACATTCAATTCAAAATAATTTATAACAGCAATTATTAAATTATAAAATGTAGACAATTTTTCTTGTACAGCATGAATATCAGAGTATATTAATGTGCCAATCCAAAATAAATACTTTCTACTTAGAGTCAAGTCTTTATCAGATCTACTGCAATGGCGAATTAGTTTTTAAACTCCTGGGGAGTTTAAAAGTTTCTACAGTACTAAAAGAGATTTGTGAGTCAAAAGATTGGGGAAGACTAACCTCTTCTGATCTCTTTAATATGTAAATGAGAAAAGGGCCTAGAAAGGGTAAGAAGATGGCCTAAGGTCAAATACCCAGAAATTAGAGATGGAGGGACCAGAAGCCAGGTCTCTCAGCTCCAAATTAGAGACCCTTCCACTTCATTAACGCCCCTCTGAGGTAGGCCACACTCTGGTAATTCCTTCCTCAACAATTTTTGCTCTGTCCTATCACCTAACTTTTCTGTGCCCTTTTCAGGCTGAATCCTGTGAGGCATCTGATATACCAGCCCCTGCCATCCATAGACAGTGTCAACATCTACCTATCTCACACTTGCTCATAAATCCTTAAAATTCAGGTTTTTAGCTGGGCACGGTGCATACACCAATAGTCCCAGCTATTTGGGACACTGAAGCAGGAGGATCACTTGAAACCAGGAGCTCAAAGTCAGCCTGGGCAACATAGTGTTTGGCTCAAAAAAAAAAAAAAATTCTAGTGTTTACAGGCCACAAAGGTAATTCATGGTCTGTAAGTGACATTTCTGATGAGATTTCTCAAGCAATACATTGCTACAAAAGGAAGATCAATGCACGACGTACAATTTTTGTTCTGGGCTAAACAGGGATAGAGTCAAGAGAGCGCAGGGTGGAGAATGCCTGAGGAAAGCAGGATTTTCTAGGGAAGGAGATCATCTTATAGCGATTTCTGTGGCAAAATATAAACTATCCAATCCAGTCAAATGAAATACAGCCCTTGAGAGTTTTCTCACTCGTGGTATGAGGACACCTAGAGGTAAAAAATAATAATTATGCAGCAACTGGATTCTATGAGAAGCATGTCTTGAAGTTCTTAGAAATACATGAGATGCCTGTGATGATGAGAAAATTTCCTATTTTATGCTAAAAAAACAACAACAACAACCCAACAACCCATCCTGAAATGATGGAGGTTTATAAAAGAGGCACAAGAACCAACAGAAAGGACTGTCAGTGCTGGAAACTGAAACCCTTTGAGCAACAAAAGTAGCACTGGATTATAATCCAAAACAATACAACCACAAGAAATCTATAATGATATAAGTATATCAATAAATGATTGGATAAAGAGGAGAGACAAAGTCCCATGCAGTAAAATTTCAAATGATTTTTTTTTTTTTTTGGTACCAGGGATT